CCCAAAAACAAACAAAACTCTGTCCTCTGTCCTTCTTTTGTTCATCGATTTGTTCGAGAGGGCCCAGTAACGTCTCCATTGTGAGACTTGTCGGTACTGTATTGGCATATCGAATATGTCACAGGGAGCTTTCCAGGCTTTGCCGTGCGGGCGAGATACTCTTGAAATAGCTTGCCGGGCTCTCTGAGAGGGGCAGAAGAATCGAACTCGGGTCAGCCTCATCGGCCACATGAGTAGCACAGCGGGTAAGGAAGCTGCCTTGCACACAGCTGACCCTGGCATCCCATATGGTCCCCTGAACACTGTCAGGAGTATATTCCTGTGTGCAGAGCCAGGAATTACCCCTGATTGCTTCAGGCTTCTCGCTGCCCCCCCAAAAAAAAAATAAAGAAGAAGAAAATTTTGTTGGCAGGAGCGGAGTATAATGAAGAGCTGAACCCCTTTCTTGAGGAAGAGGGTGAAGGAAGGAGAGAGAGCCACCAGGAAGCCCGGGGCCATGACCCTTGCTCCCACCTCTCTCAGCCTGCAGAACCAGTCTGCCGGTGTGGGTGTGTTTTGGTGAGGGGTGGGGGTGGTGTCACTATTGCAACATGGGCTTCTCACCCAGAAAAAAACCTGGGAGGGAAAATGTGGAGACCAGGGGCTGAAGCAATAGTACAGCGGGGAAGACGCTTGCCTTGCACACAGCCAATATGGGTTCAATATCTGGCATTCCATATGGTCCCCCTCGTCTGCCAGGAGTGATTCCTAAGTGCAGAGCCAGGAGTAACCCCTGAGTATTGCTGGGTGTGGCCCAAAATCAAAAAGGAAAAAAATAAATGAAGACCAAAGGACCTCAGCGTAAAAAAAAAAAAGAAAAAAAATGGACCTCAGCGTCTGTGAAAGTCACTAAAGCAATCTAGCCTTTAGGCTCTGTGGGACAGGACCCAGGCAATACCCCTTTGCTAACCTTTTTATTAGTGTTGTTGTTGCTTTTGTTGTTGTTTATGGGGCCATAGGCAGCAAAGCTGGGGGGAGGGCCGCAACATCAGGCCTCAAAAATGTAAGGCTTGCACTCTGCCTCGGCCTCTGAGGTGAATCCTGGTCTCCCCCTTTCTGTCTTTTGCTCTTCCTGCAGCCTCTGAGGCCCAGCACCAAAGGCCCCTTTGAAAAACCTTTCCTGAACAGGCCAGATAGTGCAGTGGGTAGGGAGCTTGTCTGGAGGACAGCTCACCTGGGTTCAGTTCCCAGTACGCTAAATGGTCCCCCACGCCTACCAGGAGTAATCCCTGAGCACAGAGCCAAGGGTAAGCCCTGGACACTGCTGGGTGTAGTCCCTCTTCCCGCCCCCCCACCAAAAAAAAATTTTTTTAAAGGATAAGAAAGGAAAAATCTTTCCTGATTCCCTCAGGCCCTCTCAGAAGCACGCCATAAAACATAAGGTTTGATGTGTCTCGGTGGCTTTCAAAGGGCCCGACAGCTTTTCTTCTCTCTCCTGACTCACCAACAAGGGAGCCAGACGCACTCAACCCTGTCTGCAGCGTGGACACAGGTTCAGAGGGATGCAAGGCCTCCCCAAAGACTCCCCAGGGAGGAGGCGACAGAGCTGCAACCCCCGGCTCAGGACCTGGTTGACTGCCTGAGTCCTGAGGGGATAACCCCCCTGGCTTCAACAGAGCTGATGGGGGGGTTGGGGGGGTTCTCCCTGCAGCCAACGTTCCCTCTGGGGCGGGCTGATTGCGGAGGTTAAGAAACAGGAAGCCTCACAGCGTGATTAGTTGTTTATTTCATTAAATGATTAAGGAGGCTTCATTGTTTCCCACACAGTGTCTAATTTGTGGGGAAACAGCTGCAGAGGAGAAAGTGGGTCTGACTCCTACATCCGGGGTGCTGGTGGGGGTAAAGTCCTCCCCACCTCCAGCCTGCAGGAGCCTTTGGGCTAGGGGAGTGGGAGTCACACCATCCCCTCCTCCAGGACTTCATGGGGCTCCTCAACCCTCTCCCCAGAAATAAACTGCCTGGTACTTCATACCTCAGAGTGGACCAAAATTTGTTCCCGAAGGTCCTGGAAATGTATTAAACTTTGGGGGCTCCTCCAGCTGATTTATCTTCCTAATTATGTTTGCTTTAGGCAGATACTGAAATGTTTGCGCATTCCCTGAGCTTGCGGGAGAGGGCGGGAGAGGGAGGGTCTGTCGGCTCTGCACTTTGGTGGCTCCAGGCAACTGTGTAGGCACCAAAGTGCAAAGCAGGAGACAAGTCACAAGGTGTCAACGCCCAAGTTGACGGTATGATGATCCCTGCAGAGGGGAATCAATCCTCTGGGACTAGACCCAGAGCTGCCCCCGGGTCTGGGAGCCCCAGCACCCTGTGTTCAGGACCCAGGGTCCTTACAGGGGATCTGGGAGGCAGCCGTCACCGGTAGAGAGGGTGCCCTTGAAACTGACCCCAAATTCTGGTACAGATTGGCTGAGGCCCAGACCAGGGCCCTGAGGGAGAGGGTGGGATTTGGAGCCTGATGAGGCAGGCGTGGGTGGGGGGTTCCCTCTCACGACTGGGTCCTGGTTCAGGGACAGAAGATTGTTTCAAGTGACGCATCTCAAAGCCGATGAAGGTCCGAGTTCTGTGACCTCAGATGGTGATAACTGACTCTCTGGAAACAGAATCTGGTCACATCCTGCTCTGTCTGAGGTCCCTGTGGTGGCCCCTCAGATTCTCAGGATGAAATTCTGGCTCCCGGGCTGGAGCGATAGCACAGTGAGCAGGGCGTTTGCCTTGCATGCGGCCGACCAGGGTTCGATTCCCAGCATCCCATATGGTCCCCTGAGCAGCGCCGGGGGTAATTCCTGAGTGCATGAGCCAGGAGTAACTCCTGTGTATCGCCGGATGTGACCCCCCCGAAAAAAAAAGAAAGAAAAAGAAATTCTGGTTCCTCTGGGGGCCCTCCCAATTCATCTGCACTTGTGAGGCAGCCATGCCCCACCTGTGGGGAGTGGGGATATACCTCTACCTTCAGGACCTTTCCTGTCCCTCTTTGCCGACAGGAGGCAGCCCAGAAGACTGGCTCCCAAGTCAAGACACTCTTGGGGTCAGAGTGACATTACAGCAGGAAGGTGCTTGCCTTGCACGGGTTCAATTCCCCAGCATCCCATATGGTCCTCTGAGCCTGCCGGGAGGGATCCCTGAGTGCAGAGCCAGGAGTCAGCCCTGAGCTCAGTGGGATTAGTCTCCCCTCCAAAAAAAGAAAAGAAAAAAGTCAAGACACCCTCACACCTGGGGTACCTCTCTGGGCCCTTGGGCTGCCCTCCAGAGCACAGAGATTTCCAGAATCTCAAGGCAGGGCAGCACACAGCTGGTGCTCAGTATGTTTACTGAGTGAACAACGGGGATGGGCTGTGACTTATCAGAGGGGACAAGCCCCCGGTGGGGGGACTCAGGAAACAGAAGGATAAGGTCAGTCTCCTCTCTAGGGACTGGCACGGGGTGGGGGGAGGGGCAGGACAAGGATAGTTCCTGGGGGACAATGTCACCAAAAAGAGGCCAGTGGGCTGCGAGCCCGGGAGAGAATACAGGACACCGTGAAAGCTGACTCGGGGCAAACAGAGCTGCACTGTCTCTCCGCACAACAAGTGCCCGGGCGCGCCTCGCCACCAGCTTGCCTGCTCCGTGCTCAGGGGAGGTGGTGGGACCCTGAACGCTCAGCTGACGCTCACACCAGCAGCCCCAGCAGCGTAGAGTGGGATGGTAAAAGCCCCTGCTTCCATCTGAACGTCCAGCCAGCACCCCCGCCCCCGTGTAATGGCAGGTAGGAGATTCTCGCACACCAAGGCTCTGCAGCAGATTCCTAGCAGGGGGGCATAGAGGGTGGACAAGCAGCCTGGACCACTTCAGCAGACCTCTCCAGCTCTAGCAGGGACCCCCCCCTCCACTGACTGGGCAATGAATTGCCACCTCAGTTCAAGCTAAAAGTCCCTCAGGGGGAGGGACAGAGATAGTTTACCTTGCACACAGCCCTACTGCAATTCAATCCCCAGAAACCCATATGGTCCCCCAGCACCCCAGAAGTAATTCCTAAGCACTGTTCATTGTGGCCCCCAAACCAAAAATAAATAGATAAAATACCACGCCCCCACCCCGCCAATGGAGCAGAACAGAGTACAGAGAGGTAAAGTTCTCTGCTTGCCTTGCATGTGGCCAGTCTGATTCAAATCATTGGTCTTTCTGACACTGCCAGGAGTGATCCCTTAGCATCACCAGAAATGCCTCCCATAAATAAAATGAAATCCCCTAATCGTTGGGGGCTGGAGATAGCACAGGGCTAACATCTTGCATATGACTAACCCTGATTTAATCCCCAGCACTGCATATGGTTCCCTTGCACCATCAGGTATAACCTTCCCCCCAAAAAATACAACCAAGCCATAAAACCCCCTCCTCCAGCCAACAGATAGCTCAAAGGGCTGATGCACATGCTTTGCAGACAGGGGGCCTGGATATGATCCCTTGACACCACGCGGTCCCTCAAGTACCAGGGGATTGACCTCCAGCTTCTAGCTGGGAGTGGCCCCAAGCATCATCAGTCATGGCCCCCAAAACAATTCATTAATTAATGGCCTTTGTGGGCTTCTCTGGCTCCTCTTGGCTCCTTATACAATCTCTTCCCCAGATTGTCTCCTTCCCTCCCTACCCCTGAAGCTTAAAATGTTAGGGCTGCAGCTGAAGATATGGCTCAAAGAGCTGGAGCACATGCTTTGCCTTTAGAAGGCCTGAGTCCAATTCCCAGCACCACATGGTATCCCAGGTACCACGGACATGGACCCGGAGCATCACCAGGTGTAACCTAAAACCAAAGGAACACGACTGCTCCTCTCTGTGGCTCTCTCCTCTGCAATGTGGGCACCGGGCACCAAGAAGCAGGTCCCTCCTGAGGTCTAACCTGGTCCCAGAGAGGGATGGATGATTTCTCAGAAAGCAACAAAACTAAAGCCATAGCTGTTTTCCATGGACAAAGGTTTTATTGAGAAGACTGTTGGGGGAAGGGAGGGACGACAGGAGCAAGGACTGCAAGGCAAGGGTGGAAGAGGCTTCTCAACTTGCTTTGTCATTTAGTGCATGATGTCTGGTGGTTAGGATGAGCGAGAAGCTCATCGGGAGGAGTGAGAGGAGGCAGAGGGCAGGTAAGAGCGGGGCGCTTTCCTCGGCAGGCCAGAAGCCAAGCCCAGGAGACAGGAGCAGGGCATGGGGATGGAGACTCACTCAGCCAAGGTGACTGTTTGCTGGCAGCATCCGAAACCCCTTGCCCCATTCTTGGCCCAGATCCAGGCCTGGCCTGCCAGCTCACCTCACTTCCCGTGTAGAGTAGAGGGGTGAGGCTGTGAGCCAGGGTGACCCCCTCTTGCCTCCAGCTCCTATGTGCACCCTGAAGTCCCCACAGAGTCAGGAGATCACCGGCCCTTCCTCACCTGCCTCTCACATGGCCCCACCCTGGTCCCTCACATGAGGTTGCAGCTCTTGGCTCGATCCTTGTGTATCTCGCCCTCGGTCCCAGGGCCTCGGTCTGGCCGACCTGCCAGCTGGGCTGATCGCTGCAGTCCCCGGCGCGAGTCGGTACGACGCAGCTGCCGGTGGCCACGGCCCAAGGAGGCCACTGTGGCCACATGGAAGACATCCCTGACGCTGCGCTCTGAGGACCTCGAGGAGCACTCCACATAGGACACGGCCCCCACCTGCTTGGCCAGCACGGTGCCCTAGGGAGAAAAGGCAGGGAGGAAGTCCTGGGCCTACTCCGAGCTGGGCCTCAGGTCAGAGGTCAGGGGCCCGGTAAAGGGTAAGCCAAGTAGAGGCTCTTCAAATCACCCATTGAGGGGGGCCGAGGGCCAGTCTGGGAGAGGGCAGAGGTCAAGGCTCCCCACCTGTTCATGTGTCACGGGGATAAGCCTCTGTTTAGACAGTTCCCTCAGTGTAGCCAGGTCAGTCCTCATGTCCAGTTTGCAGCCCACCAGCACAACCTTGGCATTGGGGCAGAACTCCTGAGTCTCTCCTTGCCACTATTTGGGGGAAGAAAACGTGGTTATGACGGGGGAGGGGAGCCCCTTCCCCATTGCCAGGACACCCTTCCTCACCACATGCAGAAAACTGCACCCCATGAGGGAAAGGAAGGGGGACTCTGGGTAGAGACTGAAAGCAGGATGGGGCGACAGGAGAAGGGGGAAGAAAGGGCAGGGGTGAGGCTGTGGGGCGGGGAGCGCTGTTTCTCTCATGGGGAGGCACACTCAGCAGTGCTCAGAGTGGATCCCAGCAGTGCTGGAGCTGGAACTCTGGACCCTGCGTACACAGCATGGATGGAGAGCAGGGCCCTGGGCACCCCATTTCTACCTCAGGGGCTAGGAAGGGTCATCCAGACTGGAACCTTCCCTTTCCTCCCCACTTTCCCAAATTAGTTCCTGGGAACAGACCAGCTGTGGCTGCGCTCCCCTCCCCCAGCCCGGGAACTGGGGCGACCTTAGCTGACTTCTGTCCATTCACATGAGCTTTTCTCATGGAAATGGGGCTTTCTAGAGCTCCAGAAGGAACATTCTCATGTCCTTCTTCTGGGCCCAAGGAGATAGGGACAGCTGAGAGGTGATCTCTTCAGTGCCTCTCCTGCTAACACCCCCTCTCTCCCCAGGTGCCTCCCCAGAAAGCAGGAGGCGAGTGGGTTAGGCAAGGGTGAAAGCCCCCCCCCACACACACACACACTCTCTAGGTGGTGGCCAGGCCCCAGCTTCTTGTGATGCTGAGTCAGAACTATGGTTTCCGGTCACCCTCATTTGAATTATCCTACTCTCCCAGGTGCCTACCTTCTTGAGGACACTGTCCAGTGTCTCTGGTCGGCTGATGTCAAAGCAGATGAGCACAGCGTCCGAGTCAGGATAGGCCAGAGGCCGGACATTATCATAGTAAGAGGAACCTGAAAGAAGACAGGGAGGGGGGGCGGTGGATGAGGGTCGGGGTGGGTGGGGAGTGTGGGAGGGAATGGGAGGCCCCAGCAATCCTGGGCAAGGCTGAAGAGGCAGAGAGTGGCAAAGAGCAGATATTAACGCCCACAGAGGAGGAGTGTGTTTCTTTAGGGGACAGAGCAGAGGAGAGGGAGAAGGTAGCGAATAGCTCCCCACATCACTCTGCATTTTTCTAAAAGTCATCCTTGATTATTTCTGAGTCTTTGAGAAACTCAGGAAATCCCTCAACATTCTCAAAATTTGGCATGTGCTTCTTGGGCTTTGACACACATCTGAAGCCCCTCAGGGAAAGCTGAATGAAGAATTAAAACCCTCCTCCCTTTGGGGGATGCTGGGGAGATGGGGCCTCTTGGAAGCACCCTCAGGGGACAGGAGCTCACCTTCCCCCCAGTTCCCTCTCCCCCTCAGAAAGGCTCCCCTAATGTCCTGGCCTCGTACCCAAATCAAAGCCATCCCTCCCAACTTTTCCCCGGAGGCAGAACCAGTTCAGGGGACCTCACTGGGCTTTCTCCTTCAGGAACTCTGCCTCAGTTTCCCTGGTTTTAAGCAGAACATTGATCTTTCTGCCGCTTAGAAATGGATGGACTGGCTGAGTGCACTCGACCCTAAGGGTCTTGGCAAGGAAGGGGTCACAGAGTGGGGGGAGGGTCTTGCAAGTCAGGGTGACCCCGAGGGACTTGGCTACCTGAAGTGTCCCACATGTTGAGCTCAATGCGGCGCTTGTCGATCTCAAAGCTCGCGGTGTAGTTCTCAAACACGGTGGGGACATAACTCTGCAGACACGGAGGGGTTCAGGTGAGATCGTCCAGGCTTCATCCGGACACACGCCCTCACCCCCGCACCCGGTCCAGCCCTGCCCCCGGATACAAGTTGGTCTGATGTCGGGCACAGGCGAGGTCCGGGAGCCGCTGGCTCCGCAGAATCTTTGCTAGGCTCGAGACCCCCTCCCGGCCTCTTCTGCCCCTCGTTCTTCGCCTCCCTGGGGATTCAGGACCCCCGACACCCCCTCAGCGCCCCCTCTGTGATCTTCTGGCTCTCCAAAACCCCATTCATTTCAGCCTGCTCCCTAAACCCTCCCACCCCAATCTCTGCAGTCCTTCCCGATCCTCCAGCGCCCCGCCCCGAACCCCTCTCTCCGGTCCCCGCTTTCCTCCGCACCCACATCTGTCTGCTCCCTGGGCCCCCTTCGCCCACTCCCGCGGCCTGAGCGCGCGTTTCCCCAGACGCTGGTCCCTCACCCCCGGGTAGGCGTCCTTGGCGAACACCTGCAGCAGCGCTGTCTTGCCGCACTCCGCGTCCCCTACCACCACGATCTTGCAGCGGCCGCTCTGCCCCTCCATAGTCCCGGCTACGCGCGGGCCCCCGGCGCAGCCCCCCTCCCGGGCCCGGCTGCCTCCTCCCCCGCCGCTGCAGCTGCAGCCGCTCGGGCCGCCGACACCGGCATCTCGCGGGCCCGCGCCGAGCCCCCGCCCGGGGCCGCGGCCCCCTTGGCCCCGCCCCCAGGCCCGCGGCCCCGCCCCCGACCACGCCTCCCGCCCGCGCAGCTGGCTGGGCGGGGCCAGGGGAACTGGGTGGAGCCGGGGAAAACCGTGCGCCGGACTTGGGGACTGGCTTGCCGGGTGACCTAAGGGGCTCCAGCTGGCTCGGGGGCTTACGGAGGCCGGTTTACGTGACAGATTTCACTCCGTGGGGATGGGATACCGTGCAGTTCGGGAGATTTTCTACTCAGGGATTACACCTGGCTCTGCACTCAGAAATTATACCTGGCTGTTCTGGGGGACGATATGGGATGCCCGGGATCGAACCCGGGCAGGCCGGGTGCAAGGCAAACGCCCTCCCCACTGGATTATCGCCCCAGCCCTCGGGCGAACTTCGGAGGGGTACGGTGGGAGAGGCACACGCGCGAGGCTCGGGCTTGCGTGCCCCTCGCGTGCACGTCGGTGTGCCAGTGCGGACACGCGAGGAGGCTGCTGTCCTCTTCCTGAACAGGAGGGGGCGCCAAGAGGTGGGGAAAGGAGAGAGTCCTTTGGAGTTTGTCTTACTCCTCCACTCATATGTTCCCGGCAGGGGGTCTTGGGGATTTGAGGGAACTGGGCTCTCAACACACGCATCTAGTGGTGACATCATGGCTTTCTGTCTCCATGGCAACGGACAGCCTACTCTCGAACTGTGATGATTTCACTGCGGCCTAGAACTAGCAGGAAAAAAGTGGACCATTCCTTCAGCAAAACAGGGCTTTTGGGAGAGCTGCGTCCTCTGGTGGATAGTACAGGAAAAAAAAAATGGGAAGAAAAGAGGAACATAGAATTACCCAAAATGACAGTACTAAGAGAACTTCCGGCTTTATCTGGAGTCTAGCAATCAAATCACTGTATTGCATGTATATGACAACTTTTGCCCTTTTAAAAGTTCTTCTTCGAGAAACTGTTAAAAAAATTTGGGGGGGCTGGAGCGATAGCACGGTGAGTAGGGCGTTTGACTTGCATGCGACCCACATTCGATCCCAGCATCCCATATGCTCCCCTGAGCACCTCCAGGAGTAATTCCTGAGTGCAGAGCCAGGAGTAACCCCCATGCATTACCGGGTGTGACCCAAAAAGCAAAAAAAAAAAATCACCATCACTATTACTCTCACCCTGTTGTTCATCCATTTGCTCTAGCGGGCACCAGTAACGTCTCCGTTCATCCCTGTCACGTGCTAGTGTAGCCCGATGGCATATTGGGGGCTCTTTCAGGGTCAGGGGAATGAGGACCATCATTGTTACTATTTTTGGCATATCGAATACACCAGGGGTAGCTTGCCATCCTCTGCAGTGTGGGCGGGATACTCTTGGTAGCTTGCCGGGCTCTCCGAGAGGGATGGAGGCTTTTGGGGCAGCCTCTAATCACCTTTACAGGTGTTCCCAGTCAAGCATATATGCGGGCAGGAGACTCTCCAGCTGGGTTCTCTTAGAGTGAGAACTAGATAATAAGATAATAAGGCCGCATTTGCAGTTGTGTGCTTCCGGGAGCTTGGTTTTATTGTCGCTGGATCTTGGCCGTTGATGGGGTTACATGGCAGTTGGTGGGTGTAACTGTCTAGCTACTGGAAGATGGGGGATCTGGGTGGAGGAGGCCCAGTCCCGAACCGAACAGGCTTGGAGATCTCAGCCCCAGGTCCTGCACACCTGAGTTCCTTGGCCGGTTCCTTCATGCGTGAGGCCCGTCCTAGTGTGTGGAGAGTGGTCTCAGCATGGCTGTGGCTGGGTCCTGGAGGTCTTCAGCTGCTGGAGCTCTGCTCAGGGTGGAGAGGGATACTAAATCCCCCCCACCCCCCAAGGGGCCCAGGTGACGACAGCCAGGCATGGGGGCAGGAGACTATGCGTTGTTCTCTTCCAGGAGCTTGGTTTAAAAAAAATAATGGGGGCTACACTCAGTGGTGCTCAGGAATCACTCCTGGCTGGGGGGTGGGGGGTGGGGTAGGCGGTGGACACCATTTGGGGTGCTGGGAATCACCGCACTAGATCGACCCCTATGTAAGATAAGTGCCCTAACTGCTGTACTACCAAACTAGCTCCAGCAACAACAAAAATTCTTATTTGCACATGCTTTGCATATGGAAGGACAGCACTGCATGGACCCCAGAGCAGTAAGCCAGAAGTAGCCCCTGAGCACCAACTGGTGTGACCCAAAACTCAAAAATAAGTTAATAGTGTTTCTTGGGGCTGGGGGATGTGGCTCAGTGATAGAATATTCATCTTGTATATATGAGACCCTAGCTTTGTAAAGATCATGTAATTAAAATAAGAGTAAAAGTGCTTCTTATGGGGTCACTTTATGAGTGCAAATTTTTTTTTCTTTATGGGTCACACCCGGCAATGCACAGGGGACACTCCTGGCTCTGCACTCAGGAATTACTCCTGGTGGTGCTCAGAGGACCATATGGGATGCTGGGAATCAAACATCGAAACTGCGTTGGCCACATGCAAGGCAAACGCCCTACCCGCTGTGCTATCGCTCCAGCCCCCATGAGTGCAAATTTCTGTGTCTCCCTCATGCGCTGAGAGCATTCCTGACAGTTCTGGTATCTGGATCCCCACTGCCATTAGCTGTGTTTGGCCACACGGTAGACAGGTGAGTGTAAGCACATAAAAAGGGGAACCACTCCATAAGCATCACAGCTAAAAAAGATGTGCAGCCCCAGGAGAGTATGTGTCTGAGCACCGCCATGAAGGACATTCAGACTTCAGTGAACGAGACAGGCAGGTGAGTGTTTGAGCATTGCACCTGATGTGAGACCACGTGCCAACACCCCAACTGAAGCTATGCAGTGCTGCAGCCAGGGGTAGGTACTCCCTCTGCAGTCACAACACTAATAATATCAACAACTCTGAAGGGAAGAATGAGAGAGAATGAAATAAAAGTGCCCTTTTTTTGGCGGGGGGGGGGGGGGGGGGGAGGGCACACCCAGCAGGGCTCAGTGAGGCTCTGCACTCAGGAATTATTCTGGCGATGCTTGGAGAACCACGATATGAGATGCCAGGAATTGAACCCTGGTGGACCTCAAGCAAGGCAAAAGCCCTACACGCTGTATTATCGCTCCGGACCCTTATAGTGCCTTTTTTTTTTTTTAATGAAGGATCCTGGATTTCATTTGACCTTTACCTTGTAAAGATAACTGGAGCAAACAATAGATCACTATTTCACAGAACAGATAACGAGGCACAGAGTTTTAACAGGCAAAGGTTGATAGAAAGCTTTTAAGATTCGGTCTTCCTGCTAGGAGTTGAATCACTGCAACATCGAGCTCTGATTGCTGCCTCGGAATCATCTGGGTCACGGGCGGAACCGTGCTCCACAGGTGCTCCTTCAGAGGTGCCACTTTTTTTTTTCCTTTTGGGTCACACCCGGCGATGCACAGGGGTTACTCCTGGCTATGCACTCAGGAATTACTCCAGGTGGTGCTCGAGGGACCACATGGGATGATTGGGATTGAACCCGGATTGACCGCGTGCAAGGCAAACGCCTTACCCGCTGTACTACAGCTCCAGCCCCCAGAGGTAACACTTTTTAAATTTTCATACGTTTCATTATGAATAAACTAGATCGCAGTCTTTATAATCCCACAAGCGCCCTCGCGCCGGTCTGTCCTCATAAATTCTCCAAAGAACCTATTTTCAGAGCTCTTGGAGTACTCGTACTTTGGCCTTGGCCCTTTAAGCCAGCGCCCAAGACCCCGCCTGGCCCCGCCCCGCGGCCTGGCCCCGCCCCCAGCCTGGCCCCGCCCCGCCCCGCCCGCCCGCCCAAGGTCTGCAGTTGCAGTCGGGACGTGCGCCCCGCCCTCCCCAGCTGTAAACCCTCCATCCAGCTGTGCTCGCACGTCCAGATTTCCAGCCATGTCCGCCGAGGGAGAGGTCGCAGAGGCGGCCACCGTGGTGGTGGCGGCCGAGACCGGGACGGTGGAAGACTCGTCTTCGCCGCCCCCGAGCGCCGAGGCGCCCGACGCCAGCCCGCCGGCGCCGGCCTCCTCGGAGGGGGCTGCCGCGGCGCCCCCGCTGCGCTGCCTGGTCCTCACCGGCTTCGGGGGCTACGACAAAGTGAAGCTGCAGAGCCGGCCGGCCGCACCCCCGGCGCCCGGGCCCGGCCAGTTAACCCTGCGCGTCCGGGCCTGCGGGCTCAACTTCGCCGACCTTATGGCCCGGCAGGGGCTGTACGACCGGCTGCCGCCGCTGCCCATCACTCCGGGCATGGAGGGGGCGGGCGTCGTGATCGCCGTGGGCGACGGCGTCAGTGACCGCAAGGTGAGCGGGACAGCGGCCGGCGGAGCCGGGGGGTGTGGTCGGGTGGGGTGCGGGGGAAATGGGCTGGGAAGGCGCAGGAAAGCAGCCTAGGAGAACTGAATCAAAAGGGGAACAGAGATGGGGTTACCGACTTCTCCCCATATATATATATCTATGTGTGTGTGTGTGTGTGTGTGTGTATACAATTATCATTATTTTTTAATTGTGGCTGTCGCCCGGATGGTTGTCCGACTCCGAGCAGGCATGGGGGGGGTGAGAGAGGGACAATAAGGCGTCCACGCGCATGCGCACAATGACCACCTCCTCCCTTCAGAACCTTCATAAAAAGCCACACCTGTCCCCTGCGCGCAAAGCCCTCCCCAGGGAATCGTGATCTGTGACCCTGAGTGTCACTTGGTGCCCCCTTTCCCCGGGGGAGCGTGAGCAGGGCGCGGGCGCGTGGCCGTGCCCGAGCCCCGGTCACATGCAGCCCCGTGGTGTGTGGGGGTGTGGAGCGGGGCCCGGAGCGGACCCGCCCATCAGGAGAGGGGCCGCCCCACCCCGCCGGCAGCCGGGTGGGGGGGGCCAGGTCTCGGGATCTTTGTCTTGGGCTTCCTTGTCTCCCGTGACCAGTGACTGCCCCGTATCTCGTCCTGCGGTGACTCAGCTGGCGGGGCTGCGACCCCGGTAGTCCAGAGGAACCGCCTCCGC